AAATCAAACTTCATTATCATTAAATGCGCATTATGCACTTCGCCTTCACTATAGATGTCAGCAATTTCAGGTAACTTAGACGTCGATATTAAATTGTTTAACTCAACGACATGTTCATATTCCATAACCGACCGATAGTCATCTAAATTTAGCGGAGATTCAGCCAGGCCACGGTATGAAATACCATTGAATGAACGATCGCGCAATCTGCGCAAAATGAGATAGATCAACGGTGTGTAGCAACCCGAGTTGCTCCGCAGAACAGTAGATATTAAAGGTGTCGTCAAAGTATAAAGCTCAACGAGTGAATTCACATTGTTATGCTCAAAACCTCTTGTACAACTCGCTCATCTCTTTGCAGCGTTGGTCACCGTACTTACGGCGTGTGATATCAATGATTTGGGTCAGAAATTGTCAACACACTGTCGTTTCACTGTCAGACTAATCAATGGACGCATAAGTCGTGGTGCATTTGCCAGTCGGAGCAGTAATTGGGATGCTTGAACATGGTCCCGTGTCGTATGTTCGCGTGCGTTCTCGAAACTGGGTCGAAAGTTAAGGCAATCGTTAAGATCACGCTCGATGAAACGGCCATTCGGATCAAAAAGTCGTTTAGTGAAGAAACGCATTAATTCTTCACGACGTTCATTGATCGGATCTGTGAGAGGTCGACGAAAGTAATCATAGTCGAGTAAATATTGAACAACGTTGTTATGACCATTTATAGCAGCTATGTCAAGCGCAGACTTCCCCTGATACCTGATCAAATTTACGCGCGTAATTGACAATCGCGGTAGGAGTTCGCGAAGCTTGTTTAAATCACCAGCCTCACCAGCTAGATAAAACTGTTCGCAGCGCGTATAGTCATTAGCATCGGCATGGTCATTCTGACTCACATCCGTTAACGACGGTATGTTGGAATTTTTGTTCCTCATCAGTGTCCCTTTCCAACATTTCTTCCACATAGAATGTCGCATTTTTTAATTTTCTTCCTTTCTCTTTTATCGTGCAAGGAATGTTTACCGACAGAAGTTGATTAAATTAAGACGAAATAAAAGCTTTTTAACAATTAAATTCAAGTACGTTAATATTGAAATAATCTTTACTTATTTAATCTTTGATACTGAGCACAGATTTAAGTTTATTTATCCAAAATGATTCTCGTGCTTTTCTATGTTCATTATTCATGAAATTACCTTCAAAAGATACAATAAATACGTCGTTAACAGAGTGACCTACTGGACTAAAGTGTCTCCCTATGTTTGTTCTCCGGATTATTAATAATCTGGGATACGTGATGAAAGATACGTTCTCTGACGGATATTTCCGTCTCACCGACATATCCCTCCCCATCTCGTCGGCAGCGTATATAACAGCATACGTTTTTGGTGTCGCAAGTTAACAATTGTTTAATCTTGATATTATAATCGATTTTGTTGGAGAAGTTACTTGTGTCGTTCCTTGAACTAAAGGGATGGACACATTAGTAGACCATCTAGAATAGAAGATCGAAGCAAAAGACAGACTAGAAGACTCCCCTTAACAAAGGTTGATTTTCTTGAGAATTTTTGCAAATATTTTTACCCTTTTGCACTTCTTTGAATATGCATCTCTGTAGGTGAAGCGCAAAAATATTGATTAATATAGTTGCTTCGATGATTCTCCCGTTCAACCAAGTCACATACCCTGGTATAGATTTGATTCGAGTTGTACCAAATCAGATCAGTCAGAGGTACCTGACGAGAAGCGTGATTTAGATTCGCTGGAACACTTTAAACTATTTGAAACTTCTTGTACACTAGACCTTGGGTTAAGAAATGCCACAAGACCATGGAAAGAACACTAAGAAGTCGAGATCTTGGTTTCTTGAATCTTTCACTCAACGTCTTGGAAATAGAAATTTCCAGATCTTGAGTGAATCCACTGAAGCTCTTACAAGATCTTGGTTTCTAGAAGTTCCACTAGGTTTGTAATCAAAAATCAAAATAAATAGTTGTATTTAAAAGATATGTGGAGAAATACGTAAATGTATTTTTTTCCTTTTTTGTTGTCGAACAAGAGTGAAATTAACAGTTTTTTGTGTGTAATTTTCTGTACTGTGTACAGAAAAATACTGCGGTTTTAAACTGCGTGTTTTATTGCTGAGGGTATCGCAAAATATGACTTCCCTAAGGGACACAAATGGAAGAAATATTTTAACTGAATTTTAAAGATAATACCGGTACGGACTGTAGAAAGGATATAGTGCACTAAAAGAGGAACGATAATAAATTACAGGATATGGGAAATAGAAAAGAACGTTTGGAGTTTGAACGTTAAAACAGCGCAAAAGTGGAGGAGGAAAAATTGAAATCAATAGCATGTGAACTTAAACAAAGGCAGAGAAAGAGAAATCGAACCATAAACAAAACATCATACACTTCTCTATACTATGTTGTTCGGTAGCCCTTGAAATTCTCTACAAACTGAGCTAGTCAAAATGTCTCGACTGGTCGGGTCAGTCACCGAAGACATACCAAAGAAGCGTTGCAGTATGAAAAACACGTGCAGCACAGACCTTTAGTCATTTTTCAGTCCTAATTAAAACTTATAAACTTCTCTATAGTATACTATTCAATAGCCCTTCAGTTTCTCTACAAACTGAGCTAGTCAGATCGTCTTGGTTGTCTAACGTATAACTAAAAATAGAACACAGCAAAAATGAAATTGAATGTTTTTATATTTATAGAAAATTTTGTGCCAGTAATGACGATGTTTGTTGATACTTCGAGGTAAAGTAAATATAGAATTTTGGGGGTGGGAAGAAATTATTACATTCGTAAATATTTCTTTTTCAGTCCCATGAAGCATCCACTCTTTATGCTTTTTCGTATGCTTCATGGGAGTGAAAAAGAAATATTTACGAATGTAATAATTTCTTCCCACCCCCAAAATCCTATATTTGCTTCACCTCGAAGTATCAACAAACATCGTCATTATTTGGAAAAATGATGTACAAAGTAACAGGTAAATAGATATAAACAGTACTAACCAGCAACTCTTCCAAACACATTATTATGTATCCTTTCACTTTTTTCTTGTCTAGCCGGTTTTTTGGTGTTGTTATTAGTTGCATTTGTTCATAGTAAATTTGACTCGGTCAAGGTCTACCCGACGGGTGATCATCAATATTTAATGAAACCATTAAATTTTGAAAGTGAAAATGAAGCACACACATTTTTAGCATCAAAACAACAAAGCCCTAATACAGAAGAACCTGATGGTAGAAGCCCCGTTTTTAGATATACAATATAGCACTAGTTTAAAATGCTACTATTGTACCTCGTTAGAAGATGATAAATGTCTGGACAAATTTGATACAAATGCAATGACAACAGCGGATGTTGCAACGGATGAAAGATGGCGTGTAAGTTAAAGTTAAAATGTTTAATTTTCTCATGGAGAAAACCGCAATCTGTTATGGAAAAAAATTAATTTTAGATAGATACCGAGTCGACCGAGTAGAATCAGGACGGATTGACTGCATCACCGAAAAAAAGCTGAGCACCCACGAAACAAAGACTCACGCGTGATTTTTTTAGTTTTTCACACATGAATTTGCCAAAGCTCAATAAACTTTTACAGTAAATTCGCACAATTAATCAATAATTTAGCCATGAAAATTTTGAGGCCAATTCAGACGTGGAATTTTTCACGACTAAATTACTAATTAATCGCTTGAATGTCAAGTCTTTACTGTTTCACAATACTGAGCTTCATCTATCATGTGTGCACGATAAGGTCTATCAAATGAATTCTCATTGCTTGTACGAAGAAACTGACCGTTCAAAACCTAAAAGTTCGAGATGTCTTCGTGCTTTCTGTCATATCTCTAACTTTTAGCTTTTCAACTAGTTGGGAACTAGCTGTCATGGTTCTCGGATTTCTTGGATGGGGATATATTTATGGAGTACTCTACGACGAAAATGTATAATGCATGTATCTTTTACTTGTTACGCTGCACAAAAAGCGACTTCATTGAAGTGTCTCCAGACTAAAAATGTCTTTTATGTATCTTCGGCATGATAGGCGTCTCTTATATGCTTTCCCTGTGTCCACAATGTGTCTTCTAAATCGAATCACGTAATGCTGGTACACTGGATAACGTTTTCAATAATAGAACAACCGAAATGATTTTATCGGATTTTTCTAAGTTTCAATTCCCCATGTATGTTTCAAATCTGGTCAGTATTTGAGCTAAGTGAGAGAGGTTAATGTCTTATGATTCTTCTGTAAGTATTACAACTAAGGAAACGTTTGCCGTAGATGAAGAAAACATTCACGCTTTGACTTTCAGGGAATGCGTATTCGTAAATACTAGACGATAATACCAGTTCATTGCTAGAACCATTCTAGCAACCTGTGAATGAGGTGGAATGGCTGAGTCCCAATTCTCTGTACATCGAACAGAACCGAACTGATACTGGCGACATCCTGAAAGTCGCCAACGACGAACGAGCGATCTTACATCGAGGATACTTACCATTGCGAAGACAACAACCTTTATGTGCATTTATTTTTTGAGATCTTGGACAGTAAACATCTGTAATTGACCATAAACACAGAGAAAGTACATATAAAAAGTGTCCCACAAGTTCTGAAACGATTTCTAAATTCATCGTTCTTGTATACAGTATGAGCGATCCTTTGACACTTAAGCAGACTGTTGTATTAACATACTAATAAATAATTGTAAGAGTCTTTTCAAAACAAAAACAGTCCCAAATATCAAGTTAATGATGTTTCATATATTTGATTGACATTGTGATCAATTACTAATTTTAATAGTGCTGGTATTTTATCCATCAGTTGTTTACAAATGGAAACACTAAATTTTTCCATTCTTGGTTAATGCCTTTTTGGGTTGATGGATATTATCAAAATCTTGTTCTCATAGTTTTTCTTTTAATATACTCCAAACATTTTCTATAGTCTAAACATCAGCTAGTTTTACAGCACAATTTTCTGGAGCAAGTCGATTAGGAAAAGCATTTTTAACTGCATTCAAAGCAACTTGCATCCTTTGTTTAGAATCTTGATCATCTTGAAAAATTACATTTTGTAAATTACCAAATTCTTAAGCTGCTTTTTCCACTACTATGGTTTGAATAAATATTACATGTCTTTTACCAGCTAAATACACTTTTTTATGTCGACTATGATCGTGTGGTTTAATTGATTGTAACTATTCATCGACAAAAATTGCAGTCTTTTGGAAACAACCCTTTATATGAAATTCCACTCCACAACATGATTCCTTTTGGACTTCCTGTTTTATTTTTGCCCATAATTCATAACGAATAACATCTGTTGATTCAGCATAGATACCTCCATTATGTCGACTGCGTTGAGGGCTTATTGCAAATGTATTACTCAAGTCTGTGTTTAAAATACGATTCCACTTGTAAGATTTGGTTGCTTTCTTAATTCCAATTTTTTTTCACAATCGTTTTGCAATTGCAACATGCTGAATTTTTTGATTGTTTGTCAGTTGTTGTGGTGTGCCAGGTTTCCACCATTTTAATTTTCATGCACTTTTTACTCTCGATACCGAAATTTTTGACGTTTTAAATCCTTGTCTTCGCGGTTGTGCATCGATGTTTCTGACTGATGAGTTTTTTTTCAACAGGACGTTTTTTTCAAGGGTTTAACATATCTTAGCGTAGCTGCCGTATAAGATGGACCTGATCTTGATAAATCCTTTATACTTTCTTTCTTTGCAATGCTCGCCACACTCGAAGCGTTAAAACATTTCTGTTTTTATAGAGAGTTGGATTTTCCGATTCAACAAGAAACTTTGTAATCTCTTTGGCTTTTCATGATGATTGTAGTTTTGTATTGATTGTGTTATCTGAGAAAGATTTGTTTTGGTGCAAATGTGGTTAATTTATGCACAATTTGAGAACCAATTTGCTTGAAAACAAAAAAAATATTGATTAACGTTTCTGAAAACTTTAATAAAAGAATACATGTAATAAGGTTGTTATGGTTTCTTAGTAATAGTTGAAGCTACAAACTTCAACCTCACAATTATTTAATAGTATGTTACTACAACAGCTTAAGTTTCAAAGGTCTGCTCATATTGTATTCAAAAACGATGAATTTAGAAATCGTTGCAGAACTTATGGGACACCCTTTATACGGCCCATGTTCTGAGAAAGAAAATAATCTTTTGATACGCGAAATGGCTAAAGAAAACAATTCCACCTGTGAGGCAGTAAACGTAGGAAGGATTTGATTCTATCACTCACTGAAACTGCTGACATTTGAAAAAAAATATATAATTTTTGTTGATGTTTCCTCATTATCAAATTCAACATGAATTTCACATTGAGAATGTAGCAGAACGATGTCGGGAATTGCTTCGCGCTATGAATATAATATTTAAATGTACAACAACCATCAAAGTTCAGATTTTTGAAAAATCGGGTTTTTAGAAATCCTCGCGATCGTGAAATTAGTAGTCGATAAGTCTTGTCACCGACGCCAACCCGTTTACATATCGTGGTAGGCTTCACATGAATTTAGCCTTCTGGTAATTGAGATCGATTTTCTCAGAGATAAAGCATCAGCCAAAAATAAATGGTTCAGGATTTCGAAGTACTCACTATATACATCAGCATTAAGTATGGGTGCAGTGGGCCAGCGGGAGGAAGCGGAAGTTGGTGGAAATTGAAAACTAGTGGTCAGTGTCTGCTCTACGATTCAGTCTAGAAAGCAGCTGAAGGCCCGTGGTTTTCCCTATTAGAGAGACAAAAGATGGGGGGATTCTAAATTATACATTGGTGTTAAGTTTTCCTTTTGTCTTCATAGAGATATCTGAATGCGAAAAACACCAAAAATCTCGTTTTGTACAATTTTTCTTAAAAAGTCAGAAATCTGGGAAAAAATCCTTTTGGCTACAGAGGATGTTCAAATTGGTGAGTAGTATTTATGAAACCAGTTTGAACTTTTCATCGTTAGAAACGTAATTTATTCAAAATGGAAAAGAAAAGATAGATTTTATATATTTTCTCTCTTATACAAACATCACAGAGGAGCGCTTTACATTATTGTACGAATGATCCGAACGATTCGTTTGATCCAATTGATTCGTTCATAGTTTTGACGGCTTCCCTAAATTTTACGATTTTTCTCTACTCTAACTTCAAACATCACATAATTGATGAATTTATTATATTCCAAGAGAAATTTCGGTGTCATATACTCAAATTCCCTGAATACTATTAGGAAATGTATAGATTTATCGATAAAGTTGCGATTCGATAGCCAAGACTTTAAACTATCTTTTTATAACTAACACAGAGTTGAAAGCATTTCTCAATGATCGATTTTCTAGGAGATCTCTGGAAAATCGTTTCGTAACTGTAAACGACAAAGTAGCAATATATTGTTTTTTTTCATGAGTAAACAACCTAAAGCGTCCTCTTCAAAGTGGAAGCCAAACGATACTTTGAATTTGAATGATTTGGACGTAGTATGTGATTTCCATGGAGCCTCAGAACTGACACTCAGTGGCTTCGAGTAACCTTGAGAGAGGAAGAGTAATGTGAAGTAAAATAAAATAAGCGTTGCCATGAGATTTAGTATTATATTTAAGCAAAAAGTAAAATAGTGCTCGATCTTTGAATTTGGAGCGCCTTACACTAATCAGCTTATCGAAAAATATTTTTATGCTTTTCGAGAGTCAAAAATTTTTTTTTCTAAATTCATCTCTGATCTGTCCAGGTTATAGAGCATGTCGAATTACCTATGACAAGTTTTTCTGATTATCGGTCATTTTCACTTACACTCTATAGTAAAAATGAATGTTTTATTTATTCTTAGAAAACTGAAGTTGGTCAATATGTTACCAGAGGATCTGTGAATGTTAAATTTTGCCAGCAAGCAGTTGAAGGAGTAAATAAATGCAAGAGTCTTTCCGATGGTACCACTTGTTGTTGCAGTATAGATGGATGCAATGATGTGGCATCATTAAAGTATCAAACAGTCACTATTCTATTAGTTTTAACTATTATTGTATTCCTAAGCATATAAAAGATGCTCGATAAACATGAGTATTCTATTTTTGGTTTCTTCTTTGAAAAAACATGCTTATAACGTTTAATAAGTTCTCTGTAATTAAACGACGGTACTAAAATGAAATATGGCTGTACCTGTTATCTTTTATATATTTTCACTAACCGTTTTCTATGCCTTTACTACTAATCCAGCTAACTTTATAATAACACTTCACCAAAAAGTATACTTTATTATTCTAGAAAATCCTTTTTATTTTTGTGTTTTAATTCAATAAAAAAACCATTATCAACCTTGTTTGTGGGCATTTCCATGGCATGTTCTCAGGAAAAGACGCACGATAGTTTGAAAACTGAT